TACAACGTAACTCGTCACGCTGATTCCGAATATGTAAAAATCTCGAGGTACGCGCTTCTCTAGAAAAAAACCATCAAATTTTGATATGATCGAACGATGCATCTAGTGTAAGGCGATTTTCAACTAGTGAGAAATCGCCTTAGGAGAAACACTAATTATCGTTTTGTACGATGAAGCTCAAGTTGTACATAGCTGAGTGTAGCAGATAAAATTGAGGAAATTCAACTATATCTCATCTTCTAGACTCAAGTTTGGGAAATATCTCTTTCATAGTGGAAACCACTTTTTAAAGCTAATTTTCAATTTTTCACCACAAAGGAAGTACTTCTCAAGCTTGAGTTTCGAACAGAAATGTAGAAAATTTAATTTTCTAAATTTTATCTGCTAGGCTCAGCTTTGTACAACCAGAGCTTCAGGATAAAAGACACTAATAAACGTTTTTAGTTTGAAGACCGTTTACTAGAGATCCGACACCAGCACAAAAATTTCAGAAAATTTAATTTTCAACATTTCATGTTCCAGACTCAAGCTCATTAAATGCTTCCATCATGGTGGAAAACGCTCATTATTATTAATTAGTTATTTTAAATTTAGAAAGTTATTTTTATCTATAACAAGAAAGAGAATGAAAAATGTATTCATCAGGTCGCCAACCATGAAAAATACGTTTAGAAAATGACTTTATCGGAATTGCTGGAGATAAAAAAATTGAACGGATTAAAGCGTAGCAGCTGTTACTAGTCTTGAGAAATGTTTTTTATTCTTTTTTAATACTCCTTTTGTCTTAAAATCAAGCACGTTGTAAGTGGATAGCACATAAACCATCTATGCACGATGAAAGTTAGCCACTCTCGTGCCGCAGAACGGCAAAATCTTCGACAGTTCATAATTTTAGTTGAATTAGAAGTGCATAGATATTTCTTTTTTCATACACCTGGGATCTGGGAATTTCTGAGAGTTCATACTTAGTTTTGTGAGATATAAGTGCTAGTTTCTATCCTTTAACAGCCGCTACGTTGCCTAATTTGACACATTTCGATAAACTAGCGTCATACAATGCGTCGGCGACCTAATGATATATGCATTTGTGTAAGATCAATAATATAAAATCGAAATACATACATACATACATAGTGCTTCAACATCTTCTGTTCTTAACACTTTATTGATTAATTTATAAATGAAACTATCTTTTGTATACCATTGTATAGCTTGATGAAATTTATACGTTTGTTCAAATTGTTCAATATTTATTTTTTAATTCATTTTTATTTCCACGATAATATACACGACGTTTATCAGGCATTTATTTTTGGGCATTTTGCTCTCCTGTTGGCATCTTTTGTAAAACGTCTCTTAATAACTGAAACCATATAAATCAGCCAGATTCTTTATCAAATCACGAATCAATTTTTGTTTATAATTATATAAACTAAATACAGCTGTTTGTTTTTCAACTAATTGTATACTCTGCTGAATGTATACTCTGCTGAATTTTCATTAGTATTTCTTGTTCAATAAACACGTCACAGTTTTGTAGTATTGATTATCTATCCCTAATGTTTCGTATTTTTCTTTTTCCTTGCAAAATATGAATACTGCATCATTTGACGAAGTGAATGTACTTTAGATAGTAAATCATTTGCATTAGAAGCCGATACAATCAAAAGTATATTTTCATTTTTAACGGAATTAATATACTGAATACATTGTTCTTAGTCAGTATGTAATACTACATAATCATTTATTTGTCAACGTTTATCTTTTGTTAATTTTATATCCACAACATTTAAATCTTCCAGATTTTTATCAAACCATAATAATGTTATATTTTCTTTATTTCTTTTTAATAACTGAATGATTTTCATTATTATCGTTTTCGATCTTCTGTTTCTTTATACATATTAATGTTTTCTTATGACCGGGTCTTCGCCGTTGAAACGAGAACATCTGGGGGCTTCCAGATGTGTAATAATTATTGGACTTCGCAAGATCTTTGAGAGATTTTCAGAAGGTCCCTGGAAAACCACCCTCGAGTCGATTAGGAATTTTGATTCTTCTGGGTTAGTACGATCTGCCATACTGTCCTCTACAACTCTCTTCAATCTGTTTCTCGTATGCTCAACTGTATCATACAGTTTACGGTAAATTTTATATATAAATAGCTGTGTTTTTATAAGTGTGTTTTCGTGTGATTATTTGGATTATTAGTTCGGGATAGAAACTATTTACATTTATATTTGGATACATAACAATTGATGCACTAGCCAGATTACTGTCAAACCACCATCACAGTAATATTACCGGCAAGAACTTTAGTATTGGCAGACATGAATGACACAATAGATGATCAATGATTGGAAATATAACAATGTAGATCAAAAGAGATGGTGTTAAAATCTTGATTGTAGTTACTCGATTCGATAGTGATGTGTAGATAACCAAAATAATAAGGGAAAAGTCCATTAGAAATAAGAATAATCGTGTCGACATTTGTTCATTTCTTACTTCGTATGCCATTGTAGAGTACGAATCTGATTTGAACAAACTGAATGTTTCAATGTAATCCTTTAGTCGAGGAATAATTGACATCATAAAATGTATACTTCCATCTAAAAAATTTTGCCTGTCCCCGGTCCTGACCACGCGTGAGGATCGAGCAATTTATTTTGGACTCAAATGTGGCTATTTTGCATGGGCTAACCTGGTTATATTTGATGTCCACGCGTGGACCTCATGGGTTCCCAGACCTGGACTTAAATGAGTTTCCACACGTGTAATTAACGTAATCAGAAAAAATTCGAAAAACCGAAATTCCAGGTTCGAGATTCGAACGTACGTACCCAGAATTATACCACATCATACCATGATCATATCACATTGCTTGGGAACAGAAGAGTGAATTTGCTATTTATGTTTGTAATAAATACCACGCATTTCCACGCGTGGGCTCCCATGTATGAAAATATCTTGTCACAGCTTTTGTCAAATTTTCATATATAGGAAAAAAAAATGTTGGAAAAAGGATGAAAAAAAAACATGCTTATGATTTTTGGACCTTTCAACTCCTCTTCACTCATTTTATAAACCTATCTAGTCTTTTCTGGTAAGATGTGAAGGCAATAGTTCTGAATCGCCCAACGCTGAGGAACAAACCCACATATCGTTCTTTTATTTTTTATCTCAGACAATTCATTTTTCTAGATCAGGAGTGAAAAAATCGGAATTCTGCCAGTAATTCTCAATTTTCTCCATCGCAATTCACCTTTTATGCAATAAAAATATCATATTTGAAATCAGCGTCAAAAACGGAGTCGGATGATATACATTTTTAAATGTTTAGTTGATTTTAATACTTTGGTGAAAAACTTACTTATTTTGAACTTTTCTTGAAAACCTAGCGGTTTTTCGATAAACCGCACCCAGTTCAGTATTTTCAAATTTTCTCTCTCAAAACTTTTTGAAGTCTTAGAAACCAATTTTCCATACTCAACTCGATGCGTTCTATCCAGCCCAAGACAGATATTCGGTGAGTGGCGGTGATATTGAAATTGCATGAAACATAAGTAGTCAGCAACGCTGAGTCTGATAGCAATGTTCGTGTTTGAAAAAGAATTCCAGAACATGGATTTATACTGTGAATTTCAGAGTTATGGCACGATTTTCCAGAGATCTTCGGAACAACCGATTTTTAAAGAATTTTTGGAAAGCTCGCCTGTTACATAAAGATGTGACAATGTCTTGCCTATTAAATGACGGAGATTGCAACTCTTTAGCTATTGTTAGCTAAAAGTTATTTAGAAAATGGCTTTTGCGCGTACACAGTAATAAACCGCTTAGGAATCTAATATTTCTAAAAATGGGCTAAAGTAACTGCTAATTAGTAACCTTTTGGGAAAGCAAAGTACAGGGTTGTGTAGCCCTTGAAAATCTCTATCAAATGATATATTCCTTTATGATCTCCGACAAAGCGGTAACTTAAAAATAAATGTATAAAGTACCAGAGTGACGCTAATTAGTATTAATTAGCACTTATTAATTATAATCTAATACCTTAAAAAAATAATTATCAAATTTGTCTTTTATGAAACTATTACCATAGATCATTCTCTCTCAAAGTATGCAAGAATGACGCTTCTACAATTATTTTTGATCGAACTGCTTAAGAATTAAACCAAGTATGAAGAAAAAATTAAAAACCAACAACGAATAATTGAACAGTTACAAGGAATAGCATAAAAACCCTTATTGAATGAACGAATAAACTCTTTTTGCAACATTAATTTTTTGAAAAAAATAAATCTGAAAAATCTTAATGTACAAAAACATATCATTTACGGCTAATTTTCTTCAATCAAGTGGACGGATAAATACGAGTATTTTACCGTGAACCAAATGTCTTTCAAGTGATAAAATGAACGAACGTTAAAACAGCAGCTTTATCGCAGATGTCTGAGGCAATAACTTATAATACATGTCTGGAATTCTCAATCTCTGTTAAAATTTTCAATGCAACCTCAGCGTCTCCATGAAAAGGATCAACTTACTGAAGATGTTTAATAATAGTCTTCTGTCAACAGTTCTAATTAGTTATTCAGCCTGTTTATCATTACTATACGACCTTCGTATGTGATATGTCAATAAAGATATTCTTTATAAATCACGCTGGTCCCCACCCGTGAAAACTATAACCTCATAGAAGGGGTAGCACTTTACAATTACTTTACGTCCCCAGTAACTCAAGGAATTACATTTTTGGTAAAGTAACTAAGGAGAAATGGAAAAGAGCCAGACCTACCTCTTATCTTGTGACCTTTATGCAAACTGTTACACTGTGTATCATTGTGCGCATTACATTAGTCGTGTTTATTTAATTTATACATAAAAATGTTTTCGCTTATGTCAGAAAAGCATCTTTGCTTCTCATTATTCTTTCTCTACGCATAACTTCCGGAGGATAAGGTGTTTCACGCGGTATTATAACGCTAGTGAATGCTTTCTTTCCAACATGATTTTTCATTGGTATCTCATCTCGTTCAGATTCAGTATCGTAATGGGTTGTTCTAGGATATATTGTCATTGCCGTATTTCGGCTATGCTGTTGTTTTTGTTTTTGATGATAATTAGTTGATGTTTTTAAACTTGATACTTCACTTATATTCGATGGTTGCCTCTGCTTTTGTGGCTGTGTACGTCGCGAGGAATTAGTATGGCTATGGTGAGATGTAATTACATTTGTCGTCTGTGGTGTATCAGATACTGTTTTTATAGTAATTGTTGAATTGTGAGATGATAATGATGCCGCACGAAGTTTTTCCGATGATTGTGAATTATTTCTATTTGCAGTTACTTTTGCTTCACCTCTTTTACGGTTATAATAAAATAAAAATATAATTAAACTGACCACGAGTAGGAGAGAAAGAATTCCGCTAACGACTCCAATTATAATAAGAATATCTTGTACTGGAGCTGTTAATATTGCCATTATGCACAAAAATAAAAATTTCTTACTTCTTTTATATAGACAATGCTTTATGTATTACTGATAACAATTGTCAACAATAGAACGAAAGAAAAAGTATATAAAGGTGAGATCTCAAATGAATTCTTTTACAATCGATTTAAAATGACAATAAATCTCAACTAAACTATCACTTGCGTAATTCTCATAACCATGCCGCGTTCTTTGCCTGTCACATTTTATGAAAAAGGTATTCTATATTTTTCTTTTGGATATTATTTGATACCATTAAATCAAATGTGCATAGGAATGTGCAATCATAGGCTCCATGTTTTTACATTTGTGTTTTGTACTCGCCTAAGTAATCTGTTACCTAAAATGACCTTACACAAGCATGAAAAAATAAGCTAGTAGCGCCCGCTCCACCCAGCCACACTAGCTTCATAACCCGCTGCAGCCAGCTATATAAAAATATAAAAATATTGAAGCGGATTAGCGGGCGCTGCAGCTAGCTACGTTAGTTTTTATACCCATTGCAGCTAGTTCATAAATATAGCAATCGGCTAAATTGTTAATTAATAAAATCTGGTGGGTATTCATTAAGCAGCAATCTATATTTTATCTCAGAAAATTAGCCTAAACAACCTGCAAAATCAAAGAAAATGCGAACGGCACGAATCTAGGCGGTATCAGAAATGTTTTCCTTTACATGCAGTGAATGAGCGCTATCAAACGTTAACACATAGCGTTGTGTCGCCGGTTTTCGACAGACTATCGTTATTGCCGACAGCGTACAAAAACTGTGACATCTAGATAACTAGCAGACTTGCCTATCTCATACGTTAGTTTTACATGTGGGTCTTTCTCATCATAAAATGTTAATCTCTTTTCGAGTTCTGCTGGCCTCAGTTTTAAAGTAATGAAATTGTTGTCTCTGAATCAAACACAGCTGCTTTTCTGCGGTTAGCTGTGTTGATATATCTTTCTCCCATTCATGCATATGTGCGTCTGCCAATACCTGCTTTAAAACACTACCCGTAGCTCCTATTTTATTTGCTTGAAAAGCCTTTCTCCATATACAAAATAGCGGTTGTCTATCCTAGGCGACCGAACTTACGACAATTCTATAGAAATCTTATAAGAATCTTATATAAGGCAGTCCATGGAAATGCGTAAGATATTTATAAGAATCTTATATGATTCTGAGACGAATTCGGTAAAATAGATTATATAATTAGTTTAGAAAAATTCATAAGGTTTTTCATAAGATTGGAGGCTCGACATCACATAAAATGAGACACATCCTATTTCTATGTTTTGTGTTGCCTTTGTTTACTTGGTTATCCGCCATTTCTCCATTATTTACCGATAAACAACGTCGTGATACTTCGCATTTCTACTGTACATGTTTAAAACGAATGCATCTGTGTCTAGAACGGAACACCTTCTTTTTCTCATGCTGTTATGGTGAAATCTCACTAGATGACAGATGCTTTCGATACTGGTGTAAATATCTGGATGCTCTTTCATCCAACACTATGATGCTTCTCTTTTTCTTGCACAAACTATTTTACATCTAAATCGTTCTTTGTCGTGTGCGATGTTCGTATCGCTCTAAACGTTTTTTACCAAATACATCAGCTTTTTAACAGTGCTTAGAATGTTGAACCTCTAATTCTTTCTCTAATTCCATTCCAATGATTGATATGGAAGACTTTCAGATCCTGCTGTGTTCATGCTTTCGAAGTAGGTGAGAGTAGATGAGCGTAGAAGTTTCGTTTTCCCCGCGAAAATAACTTCTGCTGTGTTTCTAATTTCGCAATAGATGAGGGTAGATGCGGGTAGAAGAGCGTAGAAAATCTGTTTTCGTCGCGAAATTAGCTCTTGCCGTGTTTTTGATTTCGAAGTAGATGAGAGTAGGTGAGAGCAGTCGAGCGTACAAGATTTGTTTTCACCGCGAAATTACCTTCTGCTGTGTGTCTCATTTAGCAACAGATGACAGTAGATGTGAGTAGATGAGGGTAGATGACCCTACAAGATCTGTTTTAAATTAACTTCTATTGTTTTACTCATTTAGCAAAAGATGAGAGTAGATCCGGGTAGAACAGCGTAGAAGATCTATTTTCGCCGCGAAATTAGCTGTGATTTTGATTCCGAAGTAGATGATAGTAGATGAAACTAGATGAGCGTAGAGGGTGTGTTTTCGCCGCGAAATTAACTTCTGCTCTGTTTCTGATTTCGCAACAGATCAGCGTAGATGAGGGTAGATGCGGGTAGAAGAGCGTAGAAAATCTGTTTTCGCCGCGAAACTAGCTCCTGCTGTGTTTTTGATTTCGAAGTAGGTGAGAGTATATGAGCGCAGATGCTTTCTTTTCGCCGCGAAATTAACTTCTGCTGCGTTACTCATTTAGCAATAGATGACAGTAGATGGCAGTAGATGAGGGTAGATGCGCGCAGAAGGTTCGTTTTCGCCGAGAAATTAACTTCTGCTGTGTTTCTGATTTCGCAATAGATGACAGTACATGAGGGTAGATCCGGGTAGAAGAACGTAGAAGATCTCCTGCTGTGGTTTTGATTTCGAAGTAGGTGAGAGTAAATGCGGGTAGAAGCTTTCTTTTCGCCGAGAAATTACCCCCTGCTGTGTTTTTGATTTCGAAGTAGTTGAGAGTAGATGACAATATGTGAGAGTAGATGAAGGTAGATGAGCGTAGACGGTTCGTTTTCCCCGCGAAAATAACTTCTGCTGTGTTTTTGATTTCGAAGTAGATGAGAGTAAATGACAGTAGGTGAGAGTAGATGAAGGTAGATGGGCGTAGAAGATTTGCTTTCGCCCCGAAATTAACTTCTGCTGTGTTTCTCATTTATCGATAGATGAGAGTAGATGAGCGTAGAAGATTTGTTTTCGCCGCGAAATTAGCTCCTGCTGTGCTTTTGATTTCAAAGTAGATGAGAGTAGATGACAGTAGGTGGTAGTGGATGACAGTAGGTCCCATGTCGACGTTTTTGTCGAGAAACCGTCAATTAACCGCGGTTGGTGAAAAAACCGCCAATTCGCCGCGGTTAGCTGTAAAACCGTCAATTAACCGCGATTAACCGTCGATTTTTCTCACAACCGCGTTTAATTGTCAATTCCAGCGGTCATAACTAAACTCAATAAGATTTCAGCGAGAAAGAACTAACCTGCACCCCTCATGGACGAGAATTAGCCTCAGATGAATTCATTAATCGATTTCAATGATATTTTTTCCTTCATCTTCTACGCTCATCTACTCTCATCTACTGTCATCTACTCTCATCTACTTTGAAATTAAAAACACAGCAGGAGCTAATTTCGCGGCGAAAAAAAATCTTCTACGCTCATTTACTCTGATCTATCGATAAATGAGAAACACAGCAGAAGTTAATTTCGCGGCGAAACAAAGCTTCTACGCTCATCTACTCTCACC